CCTGCATTAGCTCTTGAATGGCACAAAATTGCGAGAGAAATAATATAAACAATGATAATTTTTCGAATGATCCTTTTAGAATTCATATGCAAATAGTTAAAAACGACTGGTAAAGATATCGTTCAAGAAATCCCGGATTTATACAGAAATGCTTTTTTTTCAAAACGGTAACGATATGGTTTTACCGGTGACGATGACGAAAAATTTTTAAAGGAGGAGTGTCATGAACAGCAGTGGGCGTTAATGAACTCCCTATTTATAAATACCCATTTGTAAAAACAAATAAACCGCTTAGGTAACCACTATGAAACTATAAACTGTGGTGCAAAAATTTGTAAAATGATAAATGGAAAGAGTTCTAACTTGAAGGTGCTTCTGAAACTGTGGAAAATAAGCATTTTTGTCAACTTTTACTTGGCATGATTTCTATAAGCTTTTCAGGAAATTTCAATTAATCTGAATTTTTTCATCTTCTAAAAGCATTTAAAGCTGTCTAGCTTGACTGACTGTTGTATGCGAGAGGCTTTTTAAAGAAACTTGTGAAAAGGCTAGTAGAATAGAAATAATTAAAAGACCATTAATAATTAATAATAAATTAATTATTATTGATGATTAAATTAATTAAGGCTAGTAGAATCAGAATTAAGGCTACTTTTAACGCTGGGTTCGCTACTAACAAGAAGCATGAATCGAGCTTATGCTATTTGCCATCAGCAGAAGCAGTACATTGTACTGGAATTAGTTCAATCAGTTATTGAAGAATATCGCGCTTTTTCTTAACTTAAAACGCTGTTCGCATTTTGCCGATAATCATAAATTTTCCTGCTAAGGATAATTTTCCTGTTATCGAGTATCTGTGCTTCTTATTAACTATTAGTAGTACGAACTGTACATGAATAAGGAAGGTATCCGCATTCCAAACGTTGTTGTTGCCTTCAAATTGTCAACTTTAACGATGCAATCAAAACAATCATTAATCGTTCACTTATTGAACGATATTTAGTTGTAAGTAAACTTAAATTTTATTCGTTATTCATTCCATAATCTTTATTATCAATCGTCATTATCAGTGATAATATTTGTTGTTTTTTATTTTCTTTATTTTTTATTTTTGCGCCAACTTTCAGTTTCATCTTTCACCGTAAAGTTTCACCGTAAAATTTTGCCTCTGCCTTTCTCTTCTGAGAAAATTTACAATCGCGTGATTTTATAACGAAAAAATAAATATATGTGCTTGATTTAATTTGTTTTTAATTTAATTTGTATACTTAATTTAATTTTTACTTTGCTTTCAGTATTCGATATATAATTTAAGCATTGGTTGCAATTAATATAATATTAATTAATAAAAATAAAATGGAATTATATCGATAGAATTATATGCTAATATCAAATGTTTCAAAATCTGTTTATGTAATGGTAGGAGTTAGTCACCAGTTAGTGGCTAAATTTGCTCAACAGACTATTAGTACGATGAAACATTTTGCCAGAGAGTCACTTAGGGGTGGAAGTGCAAACGGATTCCCAGCATTAATAGGATTTTGTAAAGGGAAGACTTGTTTCTACCACTGGTTAAATTGCGATGCTAGAAACAAAAATGCAATCGTAGTTGTCGTTGGATCAATTATAATGTTTCTATAAATCAAATCAGAGGTAAATCTTAAGACTGTGGCCAACTATTGTTGTCCATTATTGTTGATATGCTTATTACTTATTTCTTGCAAATTGTGAGCTCGTTTCATTCGCGAACGAATGAATGATTGTAGATGACAAAAAAATGTGGTTGTGGCTTAGATTATTAAGCAACCTGGTTCAGCCCCTGCGTTTTCCTCTTCCTTTATATTTCTGACTAGAGCTGACCTATTACTAATAGTTTAACTTTTATATTAGGCAAATTTTGGAACTCGTTCATTCAATGCTGAAAATACATAAGATTTCAAGAGAAGCGGCTTTTATTTTTATGTTAACAGATCCTTTATCATAAAAATTCGATAACTGAAAGGAATCTAAAGAAATTTTGCCTTTATTTGTTATTATAGCTATGATCAATAGCAGTAATTAAGAATTCATGGCCTAGCCTTGACCTTTTATGAAATTGCCCTGCCTATGCTTGCAATCCTTTATTTTAGGCAACAACAATTTTCCCGATCAACAAGCAGAGCATCGGTAATCCTTTTTGTTTTTGTTTTCCTCACGTTTTGACCTTTTGTGCTTCATTCATCTCAAGTTCGAAAGGTTGGAGTTGATTGTCGGGATCCCCTTTAATTGCAGTAGTGAAATCGCTTATTTGCAAGTACGCGGTGGTTATAAGCTATTGTTAATGAATTTTTCTGTTATATGGGTAGAAAGAGAATGCCGCCAATATAATCTCTATGTATTTTCCCCTTTTTTCTAATAGCACCTGCCATTTCTTTCTGGCACCACCGTATGAACCTTTCGTCAGAGACTAATTCGCTTGAGGAGTGAAAGATGGATTATCCGGTTACTAGACTGCGATTTTGTATACTGCTTGCTTATAAAATAAAGCCTAAATAATTCGACAGAAGAATGGTCATATTGAAATGGACGAATGTTTAAGATACATATTCCTTGCCTGGAGTCAGCTTGAGAAATCAAGCAATATATGTGGGGGTGTTGGCTTTTTATATTTGCAGTAGCAAGAAGAATCGTGCAAAAGAATGCTTCCATGATGACGTAAGCAGATATGATGGGAATAATTCAGGTGCGGAAGTGGTTTTACGACTTCAGTGAGAGTGAAATCCGTAAAAGAACATCCTTGAAAAGAATAAGAAGAATAATAACGACGATTTCTGCTTTTTCCCGAACATTCGATGCCTTCGGTAGCTTCTTGGTTTCTAACATAAAGAAAATAATTGTTCAAAGATATAACATCATAAGAAGAGATCAAATTTGCTAACAATGATTCTGAATTCATAATTAATTATTCAATCCACAAGAGAAAAGGATGCCGAATAATGTGTAAAGTGCTCACCAAAAAATATTAAATTTCTCACTTTGAGCGAGAAAGAATTCATTATTACTGTATGAAAAACTAAAATATGAATGAAGTTCGATTCTGGGAATCCAGAACGACCAATAAAAGGCGAAGGGTCAAAAGGGTCGCAAGTTTATTTCTAAAGTATAAGATTTGTTTTTCGGTCTATCTATAACCCTATCTGTCAAGTGGCTTCGCGAAAAACTTCGCCACAGTAGTTACTGGATCCATTCAAACGAAGAATGCTGAGCGCTCTCGAAAAGAGGTGGAAAAAAAGAGAATTCTATAAAGGATTTTTGCCATCGATGAATTAATTAATTCCATTCCATTCGTTCCAACACTGAATCCGGCAGGGTGGAAAGCCATTCGCTGAGGCAAAGAAACACAAAAGATAACTAAAAATCATGGAAAGCATAGATCGAATGAATTTCTTATCACTGAAGAATTTCTTCTTTTATCCTTCACATGAAAAGCCTTCCTATTTTATAATTTAATACCTTCAATCTACTCATTAATGCTTTAGGTCGTCGAAAAACAATATATTTAAGGAGGCAACAATTACTAAATCTGTTATACCGCAGCGTAAATTGTAAAATTACCCTTCCCCTCGAAGCCTCATCGCTATCCATTGATTTTTCTGAGCTCCATGCACCATGATGTAGCCTTTTATTTTAGCCTTTACTTCGAAGGTCAAATTAAAGTAAGATTGCATCTGCTATCATTCCGAGATCGGAAATATTGCTCATACGAACCAAAATATTGTTACATAAAGTGCTGGAAATCGGAATTTTTTGAAACAATTTGTAATACCTTACATTCGCTAATAGATATAAAAGTAACCAATTAATAGCCATTGTCTTTCTTTAAGCCAAATAATTACATTATATTTAAATTCTATACTGGAGGCAGATTATCCGTTTGGCTGTGCGAATAACAAATTTTATAACAATCAGAAAAGAAATAAGCAGCAGAATTCTGGCTGATATTGATTTTGAGTGATATAAAAAATTAGTAAAAAACCAACTGGTTGACACCCTCCAAATTTAACTGGTTTTTGTTTAGAATAAGAATCGCTAATTGATAGGCGCAATTAACTAAAAAGCCAAAAATCCAGTATTTCCCCAGTAATTCCCAGATTACCACTGGGAATAATAATAATTTGTTATGTCAAACCGAAGCATACTCGCAATGTGGGCTGCGATCGCATATCAACTTGCGTTGAAATCATTTTCTGGAATAATGTTGAATTTGTGATTTATCGAAAGGTGATTAATTCGAAGAGGAAACTGGATTAGCAGAATTCGGCGGCGTTTATTTTCTACGCAAAAATGGATTTCCTAAAAACGTTAAGGTATTTCTTATAAATTGAAATTCATTGTAAGATTTAATTCGACTCAATTTAATTTGTAATAGTCAAATTTTTTTTTGCTGATTTCAAATGAGTTGAAGTGATTCGTTGGCTGTACACTCTTATAAAGGAAATTTCTTACTCAACAAGATTATCGCCTTCGATTCGCGAAATTAGTGAGAGAAAATATTCAATCTCCAATTTATTTTAACCATCTATCTGCGTTTTTTGGACACTTTACAAAATACAATTAACGGAATATATTTAAACTGAATCTGCGTTCAGATATTTGAGTTCAAAAAGAAAAAATACTGTTTCGCGAGTATTTCTTTATTTATGCAAAATCAAAACTATATATTTATATAGAGAAATTAAAAATCATTGAATCCGCCAAAAATTACAAAACATAACCAATCAGTAACAAAATCAGAAAAATCAACAGCAATCAACCAATAATATTCTTGAAAAAAGGAAAAATAAAATCGATGTTTTTGGGCCTTTAATGCTTGGATAATAGATGTGATATTAGATAGTCGAACTTTCAAGTTCAGCTCCAAATTTATTCAGTCTGCCTCGCAGTAGAAAGGTGGTAGTAAAAGAAAGATATAAATAAAATTTTACAGAATACAAGTATCTGAGGATAGAAAAATTGAGGATATGGAAAAGGGTTTGGGAAACGTTAGTTTTTCCGAAGGATTTGCCTAAATTGCCATTCATTGAATCAGTTTTGCAACAATTAGAATGACTAAAAGTGTTGGAAATTAGGAATGGCGAATTTCGACAAATGCTTCTGATTACGATGGGAACAATGGAGAATTTTGTTCTACTTCTTTACAAATGATTAAATGAAGGAGGCACAACTATTTTGTTTTTCAGAAGCATTTATGCAATGCCCAGCAATAAATCAAGTTGGATGGAGGTATTTATGACAACTAACCGTAATAATATATCGGCTTGTAATAAAATTGGAGAGATTGGCTTACGCAGTACTAAGAATATTGCTTATTAGAGGTATTTACGAGGTCTCTGAAATTTATTCACAACAGAGAAGTGAAAATCCGGAAAATGAGAAAGGGAAATTAGGGAGAAAAAAGACGAAAAAAAATTAATCAAATAGGTAAATTCTTGAAAAAAACAATTGAAATTCAGGTCTTTGTTAAGAAAAAAATTAAATATATAATATCACTATATAATACTATATAATATCACTATATCATTATCAATGTCATTATTTTACTATAAAATAATTTATTAAATTGGGAATCATTTATTTTAAATGATATTATTTTAAATATTTCAAATTGTAAGATGAAAAATTATTTTAGAATAAATAAATTATATGACAAATTCTTGAATCAAATTTGTTAAACTTATTGAAACATTAAAATTAAAATTACAAGCAAGTTGCTAATTTCTTGCTAATTAATTAATAAAGGCTTTGATGCAAAAAAAATGAAACATAATTAATAAATGATATTATTCATAACCTTAAATTTTACTAGCAAATTATCGTTCAGAGAAATTCAATTGTTATTTTGGGATTTTTGGGATCTTCCTTTTCAACTTCATAACTTTGTTCAGTGATTTTATGCATTGATAAGTGATGAATTTTAACATAATCATCGATTCATCTGATTGATTTTAGCAAAATAACAGACTTAGTTCTTAAATAATTTAAGTATTATTTATTTTAATGCAACAAAATTACTAATTTAGGAAATAGCAAAATTTAAAAAATTAGTAAACTTAACACATTCCTAAATTCAAAATTATTTCTGCTCTAAACATTGTCTCGAGCGGTCGTTTCTCGATGTCTTCCAATTTGCTTAATAAAATAGACTGTCATGAAATTATCATCAAAAGGAATGTATGTTTATTCATTATTCAGTATTTAAAACCGATAAAATTTGAAGATATGGCGATTGCCATTCAAAGATGTTTCATCGCATATCAGCGACTGCTTGATTTCTTCATTTATTTATTTGTATAAAAATATTTAAGTGGAAGTATAAACATTTTTTACGAATGAAGAAATTAGTTTGTACTTTTATTTTTTCTCGTTACTAACTAAATAATTCTGATCAATGGCAAGGAAAAGTTTAATAGCTATAGCCTCAGAAAACAAATCATAGGTTGTTGAAAATTCTCCAAGGAAAAGTGGATTTCGTATATTGCGCCTTGGTGATGCTAAAGTTCGTGTCAGCGAGAGCCGATTTATACCTATGTCATCATACATAAAGCGTCGTTTAACTCAAGAAAAAGGTTGTTCCGTTAACTTCCCGTTATCGGCCAGTATGGTCCTCCATGAACCTTATGAACCTTAATGCCTAAGAGATGCGGAGTATAAAATTTAACGTCGACATTTATTAAGCAATATTTCCAGGATTGTTTGCGACACAAATATTCTTGGATGACCTTGCCAAATTGAATTTTCATTTTAGCTATATTGGTCTTACTATTGCTAAAGAATATAGTGATGGCCAATCGGTTTTTGATGTTAAGAATGTAAGTTTGAATAAACCATAATAAACCGAAGTAGGCGATAAGTTAAAACTGTTTAGTGTTTCGAAATAAAAACTATGACTAAAAATCCTCATAATTTAACTTTCCTGAATGCAGAAAGAAGCTTTGATTTCAGCTAATAGATGCTCTAGCCGTTGCTAATGCTTTAGAAATGGAGGAAATGCTAGAAGCATTAACTGAACAACTTTTAATATTAGCTTCAAATGTCGATTCAGTGCTTCTTGCCATCGATATCGCAGCTTTAAATCTTCGCAATAAATATTGCGAGAAAGTTATTCAAGTAATTCTCGTTCAAATAATTAATCTTTTGTGGTAAAAAAATTCATGTTTATATTTGTATTTGCTTAAGATAATACAGAAAAATTGCAGGCATCATTAAATATTATTGAGAAAACTATTTGCCAGTCGTATTTCTCTCTAATAAATTTTCGCACCATTAAATTATACACAGCGATTTACATGCAGAAGGTTATAAATAAATTTAAGAGACAAGTGCATAGCTTATTTAATTTCAATCTAGTTGGTGCCATTTGATACCATTGAAATGGATAGATTGGATAAGGCGCATGAAAAAGTAGAAAATATAGTATTTTGCGCACCTCCTGAAATAAATTTTGGGCCAAAACGCGAAATGAAAATCATATTTTTGACCAACAAAAATCCGAAATAACATGGATAAAATATAAAAAATTAAAGTGCATTTTTAATTTTAATTATTTATTTAAGAGTCTCGAACGAGGTGATTCAAAATCGGAAACTGCGCTTACAATTCTTCGAGCGATTCTAATGTGGTTAAAAGATAAAAAACATGAAAAAGAAGTATTCGTTCATTTTCACTGGATTATTTCCTCAATTAGCGTTTATAATTTATAATTTAATTTTTAATATGGGACTATTTTTAGAAAATGTATCGTATTATAAATGAAATTTTGCCATACAGCGATGAAAATTTATGCAATCATTTGAAATTAATATTTGATGCAAATATTACAAATATGATCGATTCACAAAGGTATAAAACCTTACAAGAGATAAGAGATAAATAATCAAAATGAGTAATTAGATGATGGAAAAGGGAATGTTGTAGGCAGCGGAGCCATCCTAACCAGTAATGTGGAGAGTTGTTAGAAGAAGAAATGAGTAATTGCAACTAATCTGATGGGTTAAATTTATCTTAACAGTATGCAAAAATTGTATATTACGACGAGATTTGAAAATATTTGCAAAAAAATTTAGCAGATTTTGCTATTAACTTATGCGCACACATATTAACATAGCTAATATAGGTGAGATAGCCCAATTTCTTTCTTTTAGCACCATATTTATTTTAAAAAATCAATTCTTATTTTCATCTAGAATCTGTGAAACTCATTCAGCTAGTGAGTCAATATACTTTCATGAGTATCAGAAAATGCAAGAAGTATTAAGCTCAGCAAAATTAGAAACAGTAGATCAACCTGTGAAAAAGCTTGAAACAGAGCAAACGGAAAACATCCATAATATGGATGACAACTCTTTGGTGAAACAAAAATCGGAAAAAAGTAAGAAAGAAGAAGAAGTTAAGGATGCGACAGAAAATAATTTGGATGCTCAAAGCTTTCCGGAATTTGTGCTAAATGGTTAGTAAAATATAGAAAAGAAATTTTTTCCTCAATCGTAATGATGAAGTCGATTTGTTTAGATCGAAAATAGGTTAATGGCTTTAAATCGGCCCACTTTTCTTACTTTTAATGAACGAATGTTAATTTAATAATGTTCAAAATTAGACAAAATAATTTTCTGATTTAAACTTTATTTCCCATACTTTACAAGTTCGGCCTATGATGATAGAAATTTACATTCTAAACTACTCATCGATGATGTTGAAAATGAAGTATATACCATCTATTTAAACTGATAATTAACTTTTCGTGCAATACATGCGCGGCTTAAATACAAACTATAATGGATCCAAAATCAAGAATGAGAAAGAATGCGATTTAGCCATAACGGCTTTAAAAAATCCACGAAATTAATAAATTTGATCACATTTATTGTTGGGAATTGCGAAACGAGGAAGCAAGTAAAAAGCAAAATAATTAAAAATTCTTAGGTGATTTACTGTTGAAATTTTCTCGTTGCTCGCGTAAATTTGTCCTCTCCTCTCATCTAAAAATAATCTAGTTATGCCATCTTATAAATGCGCCATTAATTTCACAAATCGCCATGTTTTGATTTTGCAAAGCTTTTCTAAAGACAAACGAAAATAATGGGAATTTTTTTCATGGAAATAAAGAATATTCTATGATCGGCAAATCTTCATTAATCATTTTCAAAAAATTAAAAAAATTGCATGTTAAGAAAAAAATCCAAATTTTGAAATCAATTTCTACAAAATTTTAAATTTAGATTTAAGAGGTTCGATTCATTAACTTATTCTTTTTATATTCGCTTTTACAATGATTTTAAATGAAATAGAATTTTAGCTTTGCAAATTCCGATTCCATTACAAATACCAATTATTGATGAATATGGTGTGTACAACTATAAAATTGAGGTTTAAATTATTAGTCTCTAATTAGAATTTTTTATGAAAATCATCAAAAACTGTGAAAGAAATAATTTTTTTGCTTTAATTTCTCCAAAAATAAATTTATGAAAAGTTGAATTTTTTCGCCAACATTATTTTTTATCGTTTAATTAGTTATGCTTTTCCTATTAACTTTTTTCGTTTCAATTTCGATTAAAAATAATTAAAAATATTTTTAGATTGAGCTCGAACGTAAAGAATCGCAAATTTCGAAGGCACAAAAAACAAATTGAAATTGAACAAATTGAATTTAGAACGAACCTAATAATGGATTGGAAAAATTAGAAAAATTATCATATTTTTGAATTCTTCCGAAATTTTTTCCATATTTTATCTATTGTGTGGATCTGTTTGAATTAAAAAAAGAAGAGCAAAATAATGGATTCGGAAAAAATAAATTATTAAAATAGCCATTTGCCATGCATTATTTATAAATTTGTGTTTGTATTGAATTCTTCAACGAAGATATTCAATGAGGCCAAATGTGTAATAAAATCATAAATAAGCTAAGTTTCTTTCGCAACTAAGAGCTTCAATAAGTTTTATTGATAATTACAACGTTAAATTAAGTGAATATGAAGAAAACCTTCAAAAAATCTTAACTTGCATTGTTTATTGTGACAGAAGCTTTTTGTTTTCTTCGACTGTTATCGATTCCTTTTATATTCATTATGGTACCTAAAAAAATTCGAATTCGTTCAGTTAATATAGTCTAGATTTGATAATTTATGCACATAAATCTAGATCTTAAGCCGCACTCGCAGTTGCGAGATATGCGAAGCGAAATGTTGAAACATTCAAAAGCTAGCCAGGTAGACTTCGAAAAATAGTGTAACTAACTGCATAAGGTATAATATTTAATTGTGTAGTAGTATTAATAACCCTTACCATTACCATTGATTACCATTCTTTGGAATACTTTTGCTGCTAAGAAAATATTTTGAATATTTTTGCTGCTAAGAAACTATAAATCTAAATATGATTTTAAATATGACTTTAATTGCAGGTTGATTTTTGGTGATTTATTAAATAAATTTAAAGCTCATGGAGGTTTTCATTTATTTAATATTCTTTACTATAAATGATGGGTTAAAAAAGATTTCTCGGATTACTCCAATCAAATATTATATTAAATATATAAATGTAAATATTTTAGATAAATTTTTTAAATGTAATATGAATCATGTTTCATTACGATTAAAAATATATTCAGTCTAAAAGCTTGCACGAGTTACGATGTAAAAAAATAAATTAGGATTTTGAATTTTCTAGCACTAAGTCTTTCAATGATTTAAAATTGAATATTCTTGATATTACTGATAATAGTGCTAAACTTTACTCGATAGTCTAATAAGATGTGGTATACTTCGAAGTAGTTTTTCGGTTTATTGTAGTCCTCAACCTTTTTTGTCGCAACACTTGTGTGCCTCTGTGGCCTCTCTCATTCATAAAATTTTTTAGTGAATTTTATATGTTTAGCAAAGAGCAAGTAAAGATTGATAATGAGTTTTAAAATGCTTACTTTCGAGCCAAAAGTACTTTAATAAGAGAAAATATTTCACTTAAACAATACAATTTTAAAATATTTAAAACATAAAAGTGAGGGTAAAAAAACATTTTATTATAAATGGACTTTGTATAACTAATCCAATATATATATATTTAATGCATTTAATACAATATTATTCGACAACAGAAATAATACCATGCGTAATGCAACCGTCGCCATAGCTTTTTTGCTATCGAATGTTGTGGATGCATGAGACAATGATTGAAAAATAGAGCTAATAGCTAGAGGTAAATTTTTTGAAGGCTAGAAAGCCTTCCTCGATGAGCTCTATCTATAGCATATAAAAGGATATTCTTTTCCATGCTTATTGCTTGAGTTCACTTTTTTAACTATCATCTCTTCGACAGTTTCCTCTTTAATAGAAGAATTCCACTCTTCACTAAAATTGATATTTAAAAAGAGAACTTTGACCTGTTCGTTCTTCTACATCGCTAGCTAATTCGACTATAAATTGCTCAATGGAATTTCACTATTATCAACACACAGGCAAAAGGATTTCACCAATATTATGCAGTTATCGGCTTTTAATTATTCGTAATCCACTTTCAAAAAGACTAAACATTTCGCACCAGCAGCTTCTGCATTTGCATTTTTGGGTTGTTTTCGAATGTCTTAAGCATTAATGGTCGCGTATTTATTATGCTTTACAAGCAAACAAATCGACATTTTTTGTGGAGTAATGAAACTAATGAGATAAAATATTCAGTGATGCAGAGGTCATGAATACTTTTGAAATTTGATTTGAAATTTGAAAAGAAAACTTAAAATTACATTAAATTCAGTCTTAAACAATTTCACGCCTGGAGGTTCGATTCATTCTTAAATAATTTCAGAAAAAAAATCTCAAAAAAATAACCTTCCACAATCACTGAGTTCACAGAAATGTTTGAATCCAGGGATCCTGATTTAGCGACTGATAAATCAGTAGAGTGGCTTGAATTTACAGATTTAACTGACGTTGATGGTTGACTGATCCTGCTAATTGAATCAGATGATTTTAACTCGGCTCCTGACGGATTGGTACTCCAGACTGATACCAGTGATCTTGTTGTGAATGACGAAGGCGAGCTCATGGAACCTATACATAGTGATGCAATTCTTTCGGACGTTTTTCGCGCAACTGTTCTTAATGGCGAATTAAGAACAACAGTTTGAGCTAATGCTGATTCTTTACTAACTGCGTTTGGTGGCGAATTGCTGGTGACACTTGAAATATTTGTTGCTTCCAATTTCGTATTAAAATGGCACTTCTTTAACTAGAAAAAAAAATTTTTCTTCTTTTTCTTTCGAAAGAAAAATAAAAATTTCTTAGTTTTCAATTTCAGTTTTATATTTTTTCAAAATTCATAAGCGAAAAGAAATTTTCTATCATTCGCGGCACTTTCCTGAATTCCTTTCTCCAGTGACTCTTTAATTTGTCCAAACATTTAAGAAAAAACTAAAGAAATGATCCACTGCCTCATTCAAATTAATAACACCCAATATGATTATGATTAATTTATGAAAATTAAAATCAAACGCATCAGCTGATTCTATATTATTCCACAGATTTTTTACAAAAATTTCCTTAAATCTTCTCTTCTTTTTAGTTTTTAGAGTTATAAAATATGGTTCAAAATCAAGAACCAGGAAATTGTCCCATATAGTTTGATTCATAAAAAATATGCTTATAATCCTTTAAATTACAGGGCATAACATATGTTAGTTGTGATGGACAGTTTGATTTGCAACAAGTGCAACAAAATATTTTTTGATGTCAACAATCTAATATCCTCTTATCAGTACTAATTTTTTTAAAAAACCTATTATTTCACAGATACTGGCTAATCTTTTAAATTGTTAGCATTAGTTGTTAATGCAAAAATAGCTTCCACTATTTAACTGAATCTGAAAGTTAGTCAATAATCCGTTTATTACAGTGCCCAATACCATTATGATTAATTTATGAAATAATGGTCACCATTAAGAAATATGGTGGCATTAAAGTGGACTTTTATAACTGGATATCAGAATTTGGAGGATAGATACTAGGCTATTCAGTCTTCTTCTTCTAACAGCTCTCATCATTACTGGTTAGACTGGCTCCAACGGCTACAAGGGTAAGACTATGCTTCCAAGCGGGGTGATCTGATACTATCATCGACAGTAATAGAAGCCATTCCTTTTTCGATCGTCTAAATCCATATATTGCTAGTCCATCTATACGTTCAAAATCTTTTCTGACCGTATCAATCCAGGTCTTGATTGGCCCAGCTCGCTTTTGACGCCAAACGGTTTAGCAAGTAACGAAATTTGCGACAACTCTTGTGGTGGACGACGGAGAACCCTAACCACCAAAGGCGATGCTCTATGATAACATTATAAATACAGGCGGGGTGGTGTTTGAACGAAGGTGGATGCGATCATGTGATATTATATCCGCTTAACGGACCTGTAAAATATATCTTAGGCAAGAGTGGTCAAAGGTAGATAGCTTCTTAACATCCTCCAATTTCATTGGCCATGTCTCAGAACCATATAGCAAGATCGAACCACGGCTATACAGATGCGGACTTTTGTTTTAATAGTAATTTCACGACGGCTCCATAAAAGTTTCGTCACCGGAAGAACGCATTTCTAGCTACTATGATCCGGGCTACAATATCATCTTTTGCCTGTCCTTTTGGTATTAGAATGGACCCAAGGTATTTGAAATTAGGCACTTCCTTAATCGGCAATGAATTTACAAAAAGAGGCATTTTATCAGCTTCTTGTACACAAGACGAAAAGACTTTCGTTTTGTGTATAGTGACCCTGAGTCCTATTCTTGCTGCAGTTTCCGATACGATTTAGCATTACTTGCACTTCGTCATAACTGTCAGCAAAAAGGACTACATCTTCAGCGTATTCAAGATAGGATGCTCTGGATTGATTTGGATACCCCTTAAATGCCGACAAGCGGTGTCCATAACCCAGTTTATCGCATAGTTGTGAATATTGTAGGGGAAAAGACACATCCTTGACGGATACCAGTTCTTATTTCAAAGGATTCTGTTAGTTCCTCACATACACAGACCTGCGCCGACGTACCCTCATAAAATGCCTTTACGAGTCGAAGGATCTTCTCTGGAACACCATTGCGTTCCATCACCTTCCAAAGCGCCTTTCTATCAATTGAATCAAAGGCAGCCGCAAAATCGATGAAACACGTGACAGTCGCTTGCAAATATCTGAAGCGATGTTCGAATACCCTTCTTAACGTGAATATCTGGTCAGCACAACCGCGCCCAGGTCTGAATCCAGCTTGACTATATATTTAATCAATGAAATTTACCGAATGTTTAAGCAATGCTTTCTCGGCTAATGCTGCTACTCACCAATGCTTCTAATTAACAAACCACTCCTTGGCAAGATTTATCTGGTTGGACAAACCAATGCATAATAGCAGTAGTATGATCTCTCAGAAAAAATGATATTTCATACATTACGCATAACCTGACTATTCATTAACTAACAAATCTAAGCCAATGTATACTCTTGACTGCCTTTAAAATAGGCGAATAAAACGAGTTCTAATCTTTAAGATTTGTTCGATCATGTTCGTTTTGTTCATAGTTGAATTTCAACTTTATTTGAATTTCAAAACTACCAGAGACAAAGGGTTGGATGATATACGCGAACCAGCTTGCAAGACCAATACGCCGCAACTCTCACGACTTCTTTACTGGAAGTGAAATGTTGTTTCATTCAATTTTTCATTAACATTATCAAGAAATCATGTTCAAGACTGGCTGATAATGTTGAAAACATAGCATAGCTAATAATAACTTTCTTTCTCAAATTCTATAATATGTGTAGCCCTCTCTACTCTTTCTCGAATTTTAGCCTTGTTTCGCACGTTTCCCGTTCTTTTTGTTTGCTTTAATCGGCATATGGCTCTATACCCTACTTGGCCATAAGTTCATTTTAGTCTTATAAATAAACATACGTTATGAATGCAATTACATGGCGCTTTTGTCGCTCTGCATAACTATTTTCAAATAAATGAATAACCTTTCCTGTTCCATCTGCTGATTTATTTTCACTCTTTTTAGTACCATAAAAGTAATAATAATAAGCGCCACCTAAAATAATTGCTGTACCGATAGTAGCAGTTATTAGAAGTTTCAGAGATTCGCTACCACTAATCTCCATGAATCCAATATATTAGAATTCGAAAAATTTTAAATCCACCGCTCAACTTAAAATTTTCATTCAAATTCTTTTTGATTCATTAGATTTTGAAAAAAATTCTTTGGGAGATATATTTAAAGATCCTCAATATCGGTATGCATCGAATTAGCCAATATTCCTTTTCATTTAAAACCGAAGTATCGTTTAATCCCTCAAAAGATTTATGAGAATTTATGAAATTTATGAGAATAATTCATTGATAAGAAATGCGAATTGAGAAATAGATTAATATAACCGAATAAGATAACCGGGGGAATAAAATAACTCAATTAATTGTTGCTCAATTCGAATGGAGAGGTTCAACCTGCAGGAATAAGCCTGTCCAAAAATCGGGGTGATTATGGCGACTCAGCTGCATTTTCTATCAGCAAAGTACGAGACTCCTTGGCACATTTTGTATAGTGCCACAAACGAACGGAATAAATCTAACTAATAATGGTGAGAGCTCTTTAAAAAAATAACCGAATGACCGAATCGTATCATTTAACCGAAATGCGAGAAATCATAAGTAAAAAATTAAGCAGAAAATTTCAATAAATGATGGATAGGAACTGCATTAGAAGAAAACAAAATACAAAATAAAATACAAAAATGAAAGACCATTTGAAACGCCATTTAAAAAATTCAAAAAGATGAAGATTTAGATATTAAGAATAAAAAATATAATAAGAATATAATGAAATTTTCACCAAGGCTGAATGAAATGTACAAAATTTTTTGGTAAATTTTTTGGTATGGAAAAAAGTAAAAAATAAAAGATGAACATAAGTACCTTAGATCTGCAAGAAAAAATAATAAAAATGCTTTTCCACCATTTACTTTGCCCAGTCTCTTTAAATCCTCTTAATAAAGGATTTTGAATAAGTAGAAAATCCAGGTGGCATTGGAAACCTATATATTTCTGTCAAAATGGGTCCTTGGCGAAATTTCTCGTCTTCATAACATCCAGTGAAACAAGTGGTGAGTACTAACCACTTAATTCTTCAGTAAAATAATTCAATCACCAATTTAATAAAGTATTAATTTGTTATTTATGAATTATATAATAATAAAATTGCACATATTTTCACGTAAAATAGATGAACAATTTTTTAAAGTTCTATGTATCAACACTGCGGTCGACAATATTATACTACTTCGAAGTCTTGATCAACATGTACATTTTGATACCGTTCAGAAATTTCAAAAGTCTTGAGCATAGGTGGATAATCTTTAAGAGCTGTAAATATGGGATGAAAACCGTTTTCTTTCTGTACTTCCGTTTCAATGAAATGGATCTATAAAGAAAAATTTCAATAAAAACCAGAAAAAAAGAAATAAATCCAAATTCTTCGAAAAAAGAAAAAAGTTAATCTAAAAATTTTTTGACCAAATTCATAGAGAAAATTAATAAAAACATAATTATTGATGAAAAAAAGATCTTGACTGAACATAACAAACTCCTCTTTAATCTATTAATCGTACTAATCATTATTTTAGTTGTAATTAGTTTAATTTAATATGAAAATTCCTATAAGAAAAGAAATAATTACGCACTAAAAATTGCATATTTACACATGATGTAGAGTTCGAAACAAAAATTTACTTCATTAAGCTCCTTAATTGTTGTATCGTATTCGGCTTCTGAACGAACAAGGAATCCTAATGAGCAGCTTGGGTCAATATCTTCAAGTGGCAACTTTTCTGGATGATCACAATGAAAAGTTCCATATGAATTTGACAGTTTTGATGGTGATAATGCGTAATGAGCTGTATGCGGATCCAAATATATGACACTCTAAAAACAAAAAAGAAGTTAAATTAAAGTGACCGAAATCAAAATTTAGAGTTAGAGTTATTTTGCCAATAGTACTTTGCGATTTAAAGAAAATGATAAAACAATAAAACGAACCTTTTTACCATACGCTCCAACAAAATACATAGAATGTCTTGGTCGACCTCCAACAATTCCAACACCATTTTTCAGCGAAAAGAAATTAATTATATGATTAAAATAACACTAAAAAACTTAAAGGGAAAGAGAATATTGCAAATTATTTAAAATTTTTGAAATTTTTTTCGTAAATTTACGTTAAAAATGAATTTATATTAAATTATTGCATTAAACTTCTCGAAAAAAAATTTACAAATCTGCATCATAATAACTTGATGAAAAATATTAAAAATGAACTGACGCTATTGATGGAGTCAGTTCCAAGGCGAACAGAAACGGTAACTAAAACAGGTCGAGCAAAATTATTAGATGCACATACGACATCTTTTTTCACTAGTAAACCGTCAATAACATTGTGCATTATAAGGAAATTCGTAACATTTGATGTAGAATTTAATAAAGCCTTCCTGTAGTAAAAAAAAATGCTTCAATTAAACAGTGAACAAATGTGTTCATTTGTTGAAAATTTCAGTTAAAATTCAATTAAATCAATAAATTTGGCTTAGCTCATTGAAAACTGAGATTATCTGCTCTATGCTGAAGGGATTAAAACCACACATTCATCTTACCCCTTTATTTATTTCACTTGCCTAAAATATAGGAAAAAAAACAATTTCAGTTAAATTCGATAAAATTAAGTAAAAATCGCAGAAATCTGTATTATTCAGGCTTAAGACCAAAAGAACATGACGATAAGGCGGAAGATCTCAAGGTTGAACTCTTCAAATGTTTTTCAGAACCCATCTGCAAAGTATGCACTCAATGATACGGATAAACGAACTAATACCAGATAAATAAAACAAAGCAATTCCGCTTCTAAGGATGACAGGACCTATATGATAATTATAGAATGCACAGCAAACAGATGGCTCTGGAGATACTTTGTGCGAAATAGATTTATTGCAGCATGAGATCGGAGCATAAGGATGCGCCGTAGTAGCTCGATTTAGACCAAAGTGCATGTTAACAAAATATTCACGCCAAGAAAAATGTTGGAATATCGTACCTAATATCAACCCATCACCAAGACTTATTTTGATAACAATAATGGAATGCCAAAGATCATCCGATTCGTAAAGGCATTTTACCAGCGTCATCAGTGTATCTATTAAGTTTATGTATGTATGGGAAATTTTTATATCCTTTTAAAAAACTGACGCACGTTAGCATATTTGAAATTTTTTATCAGCAAGCGGTTATTCCAAGAAAATATTCCTTATTTCTGAATCATTTTCATAATTTTCTTTAAAATCTTAAAACTAGCAGTTTTAAAAGCGATTATTCATCCTTCTTAACTAATTTATTTATTTAATTATTTATGATATTTATTTACTTTTATTTTTTTCTTCTCTTATCAGTAATAATAATAATAATAATAGTATAATATCTCAATACTTTTCCATCTATAAAATATGCTCCATGATTGTGAAATTAACTTATCCCATCTTTTAAAAGAAGTAAACCTACCAGAATCTGAGTGGCTGCTAGGACACATGTATTTATAATCCCAAGTGACTCTACGGTGAACAAGTTGTGAACAGGTTGTACTGAGTGGGCGTCCGTATTCTCTGACGCGCATGATACCTCTGGCGTGGTGGCATATGACATAAATATGTAAACCGGAAAAACGATTCTTAGATTTGAAAATAAATTCAGCTCTCGAGTGAAGACAACTCCTCGACGTTTGTTAATGGAGATGAACTACTCTGCATACACATGAAGAGGCCACAGTCATAGCAGCGCGAAACGTCAGAACATTCATAATTTTGAGTAAGACGATAACCGTCCATACTTTATTCACAGAACACCGTCTGAATATCGAAAATTTGTCTTACTCATTTCGGCAGATATTATACTAGATGTAAAGATACTGGCTAAATTATTGTGATAAAAATTCGAATATGTGAATATGGTGCCTGAAAGATTCTAACTCCCTATAATTGAATGGAAATCCATTTCATTTAGCGAGGAAGTTGCATCTTAATTAGTTTTATTTTAATTCCGAATTCCGAATTTTAATTCCTCAGGTCAGAAAATAAAAATAAATATGAATATATTTGACACGAATGGCAGCAACTATACCATTCGATCATTACCTTACGCATGACACATTGGGAAAAAAACCTGTTTTCATTAATTTATTACTTGTTATGAACGTGCTTAAGAATTTAAACATATGGGATTCACTTCACGCCTGTGATGGTTGGCGTTAAAAGCGAAAAGGGCCAGTCAAGACGTAGACTGATACAGTCAGGAAAAATTTTGAACATATAGGGGGACCAGGGATATATGGATTTAAACGATGGAAAAAGGAATGGCTTCTATTAGTACTAGCGATGGCGGCGGATCGAGTAGCTTGGAGATGTCTTATCCTTGTAGCCAGTGCAGCCAGCCTAACCAGTAATGGTGGGAGTTGTTAGAAGAAAAAGATTTATTTTTATATAAATAGCCAAATGAAATAAATTCCAGCTCGGTTAACTTAGCAGAATTACCGCGAAATCAAAACAAATGTCGCACCTGTCTACCTGTAATAAATAAAGCGGGTAAGTGGAAGATATCAGGAAATGAAATTAACTACCTTCAACCATCCTTACTATTTTATATATTCCTCAAGCGAATCTAAAGATTAGATGATCAGGCCATGTTCTTTGTCATTCATCAAAGGAATTAATGAATATCCTTACTATGCCTCTAAACCAAAACTGAGAAGGATCAATAACCATCTGGACTAAAAATTTTGAATGTACAGCGATATATTACATTTGGCTTAGTGGGAAAAGGAGTGGAGAGGAGTACTACTTTCAGATACAACATGGAAGCATCTCATTTTTATAGATAGCGGAGACAATGTAACCAATGATGCAAGCTGTTTAAAAGATGGGTGTCAAAATAAAAATAAATTTCGGTAATTTCAATCAAGACAAAAATAATTCAAAAAACTTACTGCAATAAAGAAAGAGCAACACTAGGAGAATACCAACAGCCCACGGCATTAGATTTCTCCGATATAGCCAAATGTATTAAGCGATGAATGCCTAGATCGGAATCCAAATCATCCGAGAAAAGCGAGACTATATTAAGGTGAGAATCATCCTTACATTTTCGTGTACTGTTCAAGTTTTCGAAAAATCTCCACTCTAAAAAATATAAATGATTAAAATAAGAAAAACTCAAAAAAAGCAAATACCTCGCCCAAGATTAAGCAAAATCAAAGTCTGTGCGACCATCATTTGACATGAACGTATAGTGCACCCCCATCCGGAATCGGTAGTTGAATTTGATGCGGGAAAACGAGCAAGGCCTGTACGATAAGTTAACCAAATACGACTGCGGAAATCTTCCAAAAATTTTTGAAAAATTTCACGGCTTTCATCACCTAAAAATTGTGTGCAAATCATGGACAGTTCCATCAAACCACGTTTCTATTAAAATTTTCATATTTTGAAAGAAATTTTTATTGGTTTGGATCAAACTTTATAAATTATGGGAAAAAAGGATTTAATAGTTTCTCTCCCTATAAAAAACGTCTCAGCCAACAACACTAATAGTACAATGACAGGCTCATGAGAACCTTTCAAGCCACTGCATACTTCCAATAACTTCCTTCGACCCTTCCAGTAAATCACCAAAATAAAATTTTGGAGGAAAATAATTTTGCATATATCCCCCTGCATACCATCACATCATTCTGCGTTAAAATTTCCTTTTTCTACGTAGGTTACTCTCAAATATTTTATTCCTCAATATCTCTGTTTCACTTTGAAATAAAAAGAGCAAAGCAAGTATAAAAGAGCGATTGGTATTTTTATGTTTTCTTTTTTTTATTCCTTCTTCACACAAATGCGATCCAGTGAGTTATTCATTAGTTGAAATAACGAATCGGAAAAAAATAAATAATAAGGGAGAAAGAAAGATACAAACACATGACTAACCGCCAGGGTTTTGCTAGAATTTGTCCTATGTACCTTATATTGTAATATAAACCTTGTTTAACATAATATAATATATTTAATAAAATATACCAGGATTATTTATCTTATAAAATTTGCCAAGCAACCAAATAGAAGATTCTTTCATAAATTTATCGCTGTGCCACAGCAGCCATCCATTATATTTAATTTTTGACCAAGCTGTATCGAATGCTTGACGATAACTCATAGATTCAACTAATATGCGATCATCAAGAATAGTTGGAACTTCTTCCGCATGCTGACGAGGTAAAAACAATGAACGAAAATTTGATGCGGCCCTGTTTTGGCAAATTTAAATAATTAATTGTGACTAATTAAATTTTCAAAATTTCAAAATCTCTCCTCTGAATGAAAGCAGCGAAAGCGAACATTCAAAAAAGCAAAAAAAAGGAGAGAAAAATTCACTCTACAATTCTTGATGTAGTTTTAGTGGCAATCTTCGTAGTGTTATCCCATAAAAAAGAACTATGATGAATATCCTTCGTGGATAAATCAGGAACACTAGCTGATTCTCGTAAACGATCCATCTGCCTTATATGAAGGAAAAGAAATAATAATTCCGTTCGCGATTAATCGATCTTTAGCATATTAACAAAATTAAGAAACAAAACTGAGATTTCTGAAAAGAAAACATTTGCAAGGGCAAGAAAGAAAGGCATTTCTTTGGCTATTCTGCCAATTTTATGAATACCACATTGTAACAAAAGGATTTACAGTTCCCATCAGAATATAAAGATTCAGGCGAAAAACAAAACGTAGCTATTTACTTGCACGGCGCGCAACCATCATTGAAAATGGATAAATAAAATTAATTATGATATATCAACTAATAGTTTTGGTTCCTATCATCGATATGTGATAACAACAACAAATCAAATAAATAAAATTTAATAAAGTTTAAAACTTTTCCACCGAGTATCGAAAATGAAAATGACTCGAATTCGAATGCGGCCAACTCGCCACGCTTCCTCGGGCGGCAATATCGTCGAAAGATGAAAGCAAAAGGAGGTAAAATGCCCCAGCGGATGGATGTCGGGCCTGCTGGAGCAAATCTATCCTTCGGGAATCGGGTGGTGCTGGCGAGAATCACCTACAGTTCGACTGCCGGGTGACCCTTTGGCAAAAACTGTTTGGCCCGACAAGCCAGCGCAACGAGTCCAACAGTAATGACGCTCCTAGAAAAAATTCTGAACCAAAGTCAACCGAAATTTTCATAAAGAAAGTGTAAAGGAAGAATTAACTGACAGGAGAAAAGGATATTAACAAAACTGCCGAGAAGAAATCGTTTAAGCAAATAAGCGATTTGCCGTCCATCCAAACTGATTTTTATTAGAAACTAAGAAAGAAACAATAATTAAATATCGCCAAACGCAGATTTTTTACTTCTATGCAAATTAATAAAATATAAAAATGCTTTCAAATAACAAATAGTAATAATTATAAATAATAATAAATAATTAATTTAATAAATAAAATTTCTAAATCGAAAATTTTTTTTCAAACAATTTTAAATAATTTAATTTTTTACAAATTTAAAATGCATTTTAGTAAAAATTTAACTTTGATTTCGAATAATTAATCTTACGAGCAACGGAATTTTCAACAGAGATAAAATTTCGCCAAAAAACCAGCCGTAAAGTCGACCGACCAATAGCGCATATATGTGTCAGAAGTCAGACGCTGCCGTAAAATTTTACGGCCTCTCTCTTCGATGGTTTGATGGGTCGGGTCCGTTGTGAAATTGGGATTGTCGAAGCGTATGAGTTTATAGCGAAGAAGAATTTGTGGTAGCCTTGGCGTGGTCCGGCAACACGTTGAAATTCGTTTAAGGGAATGCGCCCCCATTCATGCACTTTTCTACGCCAAAGCCACATTCTTAGATGGCCCTTCGCCGATAATTAATTGTGTGAATGAGAACTCTCTAATTCAGCTTTGCGTATAAGTTTGAGCAATTTGAATATTACTGAGTAATCCATCATTTGCAGTCACATTGAAATTTAAGTCGAAATCGGGCCGTTAGAAGGTGGAGATGCGAATTAGCCACAGCGATCTCACACGTAACTCCCTCGTGTTAATGATTATAAAAATTAATAAAAAATTGGTGCGGCAAGTGCGAATAGCAGATCTATGGGGGATGAGGTTGCCTTGTGCGCACCCAGGAAGAACGGCGACGACGACCCCACGCAGCACCCCCATTTCGTCGCCCGGTGCCCTGATCTCCTCTTCCCCTTTCCCTCCCTCCCTCACATTTCCCTGCTTCCTACTACAAATCCCAGATGACCAAGAATTGGGACCTTACATACGGCTTGAAGATCTCTCTCTTGCTTTCTCAATACTCTCGCTGGGGAAGAGAAATATTACAAGCGCAATGGAAACATTCTGCCCAAATTTATATTTGCCTTCAGCATTCGGCGACTATAGTAATACATGAATTAAAGGAAGATCAGAGTCTCTTGCACTGATTTATGTAGAATTTTACAGTGATCTAAAATCAGTTGGATCATTTTTTCTGTCATTTATAACTGATTCTCCGGCTTTCCTTGTGTTTCGCATGTCCAACACAATAAAATTTGAAAGACATCCAGTAGGATGTATAAAAAATTTTGCAGTTATCGGTATATCGGTAAATATTTGAGAAACGGATAAAACATTTGCAATATTATTAATTTGTTTTTTATTAAAAATCTTTTTACTTAAAAAAAACAAATGAGATGTCGCGAGACGACGAAAGCAAAAGGCTACTGTAGGGTCGCAAGAGTGGAAAATGGATTCGAATCAGTAGTTAGCTTATCTTGTCAACAAATTAATTACCAAGCAATCAAGGATCGATGAGGAGGAGAGGTTGATAAAGAAGTTTTCACGAGTTCAGAGTGAGTGGTGCATTGTGGTTTAGTGGCATGCCAGAATAGCAAATCAACAAGAAAGATTCAAGTATATGTGAAAACGGTGACGTCCATAAAAAGAAAGTGAAAAAAAGACCAGTGGAGTACGAAAAAATGTATAAGAAGATGATCCAATGATGCCGAGGAATGGACCAACGAAGGATACACCTCTGCAGGAGGGACAGAAAAAGGAGCGGAAGCAGCCTCGAACCCCAAAGCAGTCTTTTCTTTCGCCGTTTCGCGAGGGTCGTATAGGATAGTTTGCAAATCCCAAAGTCCCTACTATTTAGCAACTAGTATGCAGTGTGTATGCTAAAAAATTGAGTCTTCTATGTCCTGCTTGGTCCATGTTTATAAATATATTTCTAATAAACAAATTAATTAATTAATTTTCTTTATATAAGTTATATAAGTATAATATTCTTTATATAAGTACAATAACTTTATATAAGTTTGATTCGAATATTAATTTCGGTAAAATCACAAATATTACGGAATTTATTAGTGAATTAGCAATTGTCTTAGTGGAGGAGAATTTGATACTTTCTTTTCAAATGACTTTATTTGCAATTGAATTGAAAAGAAAAATTTTCTTTCACCATCTGGAAATAACTGATTGGTGCCATATTTTATAATCCGAAAATTTTAATTTAAACATAAAAAGCGACAAGGAAAAATTAGATGAAAATGAAATTCTTAATAGCGTCCTTAATAGCGCATTCAAATACCTTTGTGAGTCTTTTGTGACTCTTTAAATCTAACTTTTTATATTTTATTCATTATTATGCATTAAATTTAGTTACTTAATTTAGCTTTATAGCCTTATATTGCCTTTTGGCCCGTCACTATAATTATTCCCATTCTTTTTTCTAGTCCCCTATATTGCATTACGAATGATTAGAAATCGTGATTTGCATAAATTTAGGCAAAATTGCACTGCCACAACATTAAAATCGAATTAAAAGCCAAAATTGGACAGAAAAGCGAAAAGAAGATAAAATATATCTTTCGTAGTTGAAAAAAGTTGTAGTACAAGAGCAGAGAGAATAATTCGAATGTTCCGGAAATTCCGGAATACTAAGGCTGTCCAGTAGAATTTGATTATAGGACTCTATGATTAAGCTTAATAGGAAAAAGCTAAAGGCGAACGCCCAGCTTAGCACAGCAATATTTGTTAGATTTGGCAAAATTAAGAAAACAATGCAAAAAATTAAAAGAAATAAAATTGTAAAAAATAGTTGAAATAAAATCGAAATTTATTAAAGATTAAATTGAAAATTATCAAATTTCTTGGAAAAATCTCCTTGAAGCTTGTTCCCTCGCAAATTTCTTATCACTATCAAACATAGGTTATATCCACTTAAAATCACCTTTGTCCTAATTCGTTATCACTAAAAATAAAAGTATTAATCGCGAAAAATAAAAATTAAAATAACATCTCATTTTTTCTTTTGAGAAAGATTTTTCTATTATTTCGTCAGATATGAAGATATTCTAGCTTATATTTTTAGCATAAGAAAACCTCGTTCCAATCTGATTCCCTTTTTTCCCTAAATAATGTTATCAATATTTTCGCTATCTGAATCCAATCGCTACCTTAGGTGTAAAAATATGTGGGCATTTTTGCTTGATTATTTTAGAAAGGGTGTGGTGAAAAGAAGTGATTTTTTAATATCCGATCGTATTCGATCACTACAACATTTTAAATAGAGGGAATCTGGTATTCTTGATCAGTCTTACTAGTTGTATTTAGCTGTGTGTAGCTGTTATTTTCCGCAACATCCATCATAGTTAGCAAATTTGGAAATAGTGCATAGCACCATGTGAAACTATGTTGTAAGGAGGCTTTTATTTTGTTTCTCATGATGTTAATTCTTATATTTAAAGAACCTGATTGATAAAATGATAAGAATGAATTTAATATGATTTGACAAACTTGATTGCTGATTGTTGCTTAACTGATCAAAAAAAGAAATCATGGAAAAATCGACACATTTTTTTCGAATTTTTTTATATCAGCAGATTCTTAACAAGAACAATGTTGTGTAGCAACAGGCTTTATTGCAGTGTGCGAAAATTTTAGGTTTATTACTTACAAAATTACTTTGATTTTCATCTATGGTTGCCTTGCAATATTGTTATGAGATTTGCATTTAAAAAAATAGTTATTTTCGCTTGATGAAGCTCACCATCACATAGCGATGATCTGAACCATTATAACCATTCGGTTATCCTGCCCACGTGCATATATTAAGAAATTTGGAGATAATGTCCTCAAAGATATATTGTTTGCAACAAAATATATTAGAGTAGTGCATTTATATGCCTGTGATAATAAAGTTAAAAAGTACCGCCAAAGACGGCTCTCGTCTTAATTTCTCATTTTATATTTAAAGAACATAGCAGGGCAGAAAATTATGAGAAAATTATGCATAAGCTAAAGCAATGAAAATAAACAAAAGGTAAGAAAAAAATAAATTTAGAGGAAGAAAAAATATGAAATGGATTTATGGGACTCATTTTTTAACAATGGATTGAAGCTGCAGCTTGAAATTACAGCTCGAGATCTTGAGTTTTTTTTTGAAAACTAGAAAGAGAGCGAGTAAAGGCATTGCTATTCGGCAACTTGTTCCAGTAGCTAATGC